ATAAAAAGGATGAAGAAATTAAGTTACCAAGGACTAAAATCAGTTAAATACAGCCCGGGCATTCCTAATTGGAAAAGCTGAAATCCAAAATGTTCCAAAATTCTAAACTTTTGGAGTACCAGCATGACATTCAGAGGTTACGCTCAAAGGAAATACTGACTGGAGCATTTTGAATTTTGGATTTGTGGATCAGAGATGCTCAACTGGTAAGTATAATATAATGCAAATATTTAAAAAAAAATCCAAAATCCTAAACATTTTTGGCCCCAAACACTTATGATAAGGGACACTGAACCTGTAAAAAAATAAATCTAAACACATGTTTTAAAGGGTTTTAATATTACTGCTTCACATTTTTGATAGCTATTCTCAATTTTTTAAACTGCTGTTTTGATCACTAAAAAGAAAAAAATTAAAAATCGGTAAAAATCCTTGATATTGATACAGGAGAGGGGCAGGGAAGTGCTGGGTAGAGAAGGGCAGGGTCCTTGGTGAGGGCCCCACCCTCAGGCCTGTGCCCATGGACCTAAGTGAGGGCAGGCACTCCTGTTTCCCTGCCCAGATGTTGCATTTTTCAAGACCACTCTGGCAAGCCACGACTCCATTCTGTGCCTAAAATACCCAAGACCCTAGTGGGTACGCAAGCAGCCAGACATAAAGAACACACCAGCAGAAGAACACAAAGACAGAGGCCAGCAGGCCATTGATGATAGAACAGCTGGAACAAGGGGGACACCGAAGGGAATTCGGCCAGGGGCTATGGGAGGAAAGCCCGGGAGCTGAAGGGCCGGACTCGAGGGGAAGACTACCTTCACACTCCATCCCCATTCTACCTCCACATCCACGGCTGAGAGCCACTTCCACCACTCAATAAAACCTTGTACTCATTCTCCAAGCGTATATGTGACCCGATTTTTCCAGTTCACTAGGGAAAGAGCCTGGTATACAGAAAGCCCTCTGTCCTTGTGATAAGGCAGAAGATCTAACTGGGCTGATTAACACAAGCCCCCTGCGGACAGCAAGACTGAAAGAGCACACAGTGACACGTGCCCACTGGGGCTTTGGGAGCTGTAAACACTCAACTCTAGATGCTGCCGTGGGGTCAGAGCCCTGCGACCTGCCCATCCACATGCTCCTCCTAGAGGTTTGAGCGTCGGGCACAGAAGATGGAGCCACACTCCCATGGCACACCCTGCGAGAGGGTTAAGGGAAAACTCCTCCCATTCCAATATTCCAAAAAGACAAAAATAGTGGGGCTTGCTCACTTGTATAGACAAATAATGTTATATATTTAAGTATGTGTCCGACAAGTCTTTGTGACCACTGGTAACAATGCTTATCATGGCATTTCCCAAAACGACCACAACATTTTCCTGCCCACATGCTCTTCTAAAACCTGGAGAGTCTTTGTGATCGCCTCATGAATAGAGGCAGGCCCGACACATGTGGCCTCCAGTGCTTGGTCACAGAAGGCAATACTGTCCAGTTCTGCCTGCTTCTCTTGAAACATTTATTCTTGGAACCAAGCTCTAAGCGGTGAAAAAACCTAGGCCACACGGAGAGATCACAGGTAGGCGTCCTGGCTGAAAACTTCACTGCTGCTCCCTTAACATCCTCCATGACTTTTCTGACATATAAAGAAGCATCTGAGAACCCTCTAGCCACAACCACAGACTGACTGAAAACTCATGAATACCCAAAGCAAGAAAGGCCTAGATGAGCCCAGTCAACACCCAATAATGAAAAAAAATTTGTTTCACTCCACAACGTTTGTAGTGGTTTGTTAGGTAGCAATAGATAACTGGATAACAGTTAACAATAACAACAAAAAGTCTATGCAAAAATATAAGAATGGATAAAAAATTAAACTACAGAAAGCATAAAATATAAATAAAATACCAAATAATAGAGTTGTGACAATGAATGCAATTTATTTAAACACACCTACCAACTGGAAAAGAGACTCAGATGGAGTGAAAATAGAAAACTCTACTTACTAGCTAATAATAAATACCCGAAATAAAATTACAAAGAGGCCAAAAATCAAAGAATAAAATATACTATGTGAGGCATTGAAATAAAAAAGAAAAATAAGCCTAACCAAAAAGAACAAATATTTAATAAATACAGCAGCAAAAACATGACTAGTGAAACAGAAACTAACATTACTAAGTTGACCTAAAAAGTTATCTACACCATACTCCAAAAAGCCCTTTTGTAAGTCTAATCAATAAAAAATAATGAAAAACAAAATATCAAAATGAAGAATAACATCATTGCTAAATATATATAGACTATTTTCACAATTTTTATAAACAAGCAGGTGAGTATAAACATTTGAATGAAATGAATCATTTGGAACAAATTTCAATTTCTCCAATTTATTCAAGGAGTCGAATGCCTGAAGAGAAGAAATGTAAAATATTATGCCAACTTACACAATCTGTTCCATAGCCAGCCTTTTATTTAAGTTGTGAACTCTTTCAAACCATTTTCTTGACAAGAAAAAAAAAAATGTGTTCAGCAATGCTAAAAAGTAAAAGCTATCTACTTTTGTGCAAAATTGTTAGAATTTTCACTCAAAAATTTGACCAAGGTATTGCTTAAAACCAACAGTATTTCCTAAATTTTAATCAAAGCAGTAGTTTTTATATAACACCTGCATCGAATAAAAATATGCTCCCTGCTAAGAATTCAGGAAATTTGCTTTTAAAGGTATTTGTTGCTGTTGCACTATAGAATTTCTGAATCTATAATAAAATTATGAGGATTATGAATCTCCAAGGGTATAGAAATCAGTGCTTCCAAATCTTCCTTACTGTAAATGCTTTGTATCCACAGAATATTATTAATGTTCCATAACACAGTGAAATGAATGACCGTAGGACCAAATTTAGAAAATAGTGCTATAAATCAATTTATCTATGAACATGGATACAAAATATGTCAAAATCCAGAAATTAACATTGATATATTCCAATTCATAACATCTGAACATAATAATATAAATAGGTAGTTCTGTAATATAAATAGTGGTGTTGTAAATTGGCTACGCCACTTTAATCCTAGCACTTTGGGAGGCTGAGGCAAGCAGATTGTCTCAGCTGAGGAGTTTGAGACCAGCCTGCACAATGTGGCAAAACCCTGTCTCTACTCAAACTACAAAAAATTAGCCAGGCATGGTGGAGCGCGCCTGTAATCTCAGCTACTTGGGAGGCTGAAGCACAAGAATTGCCTGAACCCAGAAGGCAGAGGTTGCAGTGAACCAAGATCATGCTCTTGCACTCCAGCCTGAACAACAGAATAAGACTGACTTAAAAGAAAAAAAAATTTTGCAATGCCATTCTTAATGCTAAAACTTTAACCTGATGGCATCAAAATCATGAAAAAAAAATATATTTTATCACTAGTATTCTATTCCGATTTAAAGACACAGGTAATGCAGTAACATGAAACATGAGTAAGATATGCAAATATTATAAAAGGTGGATAAACTAGTGATAATTGCAGATAATAGGCCTATATACTTCCCTAAAAGCAAGAGAATCAACTAAAAAATAGACAGTATATTATGTCAGCAATGAAGTTGACATGTCATGTGACGAACTATTATGCAGCTTACTGGCAATAATGTTCTTAAAGAATTTTCTGACACATTTCCATTTATGTAAAATAAAATTAGTGACTTATACTTGCTATAAGTTTTTTTAAAAGTACACATTTAGAAAGCACAATAAATAAAATTAAATGGTGATCATCTATAGTTCATGATGTTAGAGGTAATTCTAATTTTATTCTTTCAATTCAAAGATAAATTGGTTTATAGCAGGTATGGAAAATACAGAAAATATAGAAATTGGTTTAATGGAGCATATGTTCTTAGTATAATCAAACTTGTATTTTTCTTATTACTAATATTTTAACTTGGCCCTTTATTCTAATAGTCCAAGAGTCCTCACTTGATGTTCTACTCATCTAACTCTATATATATATATATATATACACACACACACACACACACACACATATATATGTGTATATATATATGTATATATGTGTGTATATATATGTGTGTGTGTGTGTGTGTATATCATATGGTCTTTTTCAAATCAATGACTTCAAATATCATCTGTCTATGTGACGGTATATACAAATATGTTTATTTATTAAACATCTTCATTTAGTTGTTGTAGAGGAGTCTTATAGAAATAATGAATGTGCAAAACTGAAGTCATTTTTCTTTTAAAAATCAGCCTTTTCTAGAGTTAATGATTTGAGCAAAGAACATTTAATTTACTCAGTCACCCAGATTGGCAGAAGGATGTTGAAGAATTATGTTAGCTAAATGAATGATGATTTTAGGAAAGAAATGACATTTGAGATGGGTCTTAGAAAAGAACTAAGGTACCACCAGGCGTAAAATTCGGACAGTATTTTCTCATGAAAAAATTATTGTCTTATTAGAAGTCAAAGTAAAAGCTGAAGCAAGACATAAAAATAAAACATCTTTAATTTGAGAGAAAGACAGATATAAGGGCCTTTAGATAAAGACAGATATATGAGCCTTTAGATGGTTTCCTAGTTAGAGAATACCGAACTGATCACCAACATAATTGAAAAAACTTAATGCTTGTGCTCTTGAGACATATGCAAAGTGAGTTTCAGTTAATAGTAGCCTAAAAAGATATTGACTCTTGCCTTTTTGTCAGTGGTCTGCAGACAATTTGCTTCAAACCATGCTTAGAAGTGGTTTGAATGCTCCTAAAATTTCAGAGGTCTATTGGTTAGGTTAATTTCAAGAACATTACACATGAACACTTTGATTCTAAGGTCATAAAATATCCACTTTTATGTTGCATCTTCTTGTGTCACATTTAATACAAGTTGAGATCCTTCAAGACAGCTTTTAAAGAGTTTTTAAATATATATATATTTAAATCTATATGTCTTTAACAATATAGTTGTTTTATATATATATAGTTATATATATAAGTATATACTTAAATCTATATAAGTCTTTAACAATATAGTTGGCTCTTAATATCCCTGGGTTCTGCATCTGCAGATTCAAACATGAACAGAAAATACCTTAAAAACAATAAAAATTAATAAAAGTAAAAAACAATACAGTATAACAACAATTTGCACAGTGTGTACATTGTGTTAGGTTTTATAAGCAATCTAGAGATGATTTAAAGTATATTGAAGAATATGCATAGGTTATATGAAAATACTAGGCCATTTTTTATCAGGGACATGAGCATCCCTGGATTTTAGCATTCATATAAGCTCCTGGAACAAATCCCCCACAGATACTGAGAGATGACTGTATATAAAACCTAAAAAGAAAATTGAATGCTAATCTTTATCATAAATATCAGATATATAATGTCACTCCCTCTTCAACATGAAAATGCTTCCATTAAAAAATTTCAAAAACGTAAACACAGTTCTTTGTTCCAAATACTATTATTATTGGAACAATTAATGTCTTTCAGCTTAGCCTCCAGATGCATCAACATCTATAAAGCCTGGATAGATTTCACATCAAGGAGAAAGGAAGCTGGACTTTTAGAAGTAACTAGTATGGATATACTGCTTTCTTCCTGCATTATATGTCACTGTAATGTTTATAGTATCAACTTGAGGCTCAAGGCAAATCATTCATATACAATCTGCTGTGCTACATTCCTAGGAGCTCAAGTCAAGTGGAGCCCAATACACTTGGCTTTTCCAATCCCAGTAACTTATTTCAATCAACAACAATGCCTACAGGGTCTTTGAGTATACAGTGGGCATTGTTGTTGATTGAATGTCCACTGTACACTCAAAGCTTAAAATACTCCAAGACATTTCTGGTACATTGGTATCCCTACAATTATGAAAATTGATTCCAGAAGCATAAGGAAAATAACAGAAGGTAACATGGTTTATTTTTAAATACAAAAAAAAGAGCAAAAAATAGGATGCACCTCATGTATACATACACATGGTAGCCTTAAAATTAAGGCATTTGCTATAGCACACATTTAAATTTGTATAAATGAGTCTTTTAACAATAGAGTCGATCCTTAGTATCCCTCGATTCCGCATCTGCAGATTCAACCAAAAACATGGGCAGTTAATATACAACTGTCCAAACACAGACAATTGTCCAAATATATATGTTAATTTATATTATATATAAATATTTATTAACATATAATTGTCTAAACATGGACAGTTAATATGTATATAAAATATAAGGGTCATTTTTATTTGACTAAAAATTTACCAGGTTATCAAATAACATAATGAATAAACCATTAATCATTAAAAAAATCATTACTTGTGGATATATATTCTAATAAAAGCATAATCAGACAGTTCTGTTTTCAACATATTCCATTCACTTTTGTGATGTATCTCTTGAATAGTAGACATAGCTCTTGGCTGTATTTTACCATATTTCATATCTAGCTAGTTAAGAATGTCAGCACAAAAGAATACACTTAAGTAATATATTAATAATAACATTTGGCTTAAAATATATCCAAGTTTTAAGCAGGAGGTTATTAATGTATCATGAATTCATACTAATTATTATGGTAGAATGCCCAGAATTTAAAATAGGAGGATAATTTATAATGGTAATATTATTTTAAAAATGAATCTTAATTCACTATCTAATAAGTGCCTTACTATGTAAGGTTCTTTATCATTGTTACTGTAGCATATGATTTGAGAATACATTAAAAAGCTATTGCTTTTCTGACATCTAATTTGCATCAGGTTCTTAATTTTCAACTGGGTACAAGTTAGGCACTCAAAAATGAAAGAACCAGTTAAATTACCTTATCGATAACAATACTATTTTACCAAAGACAATGAAAAGTAACGACCCTGACATAGATTTTTCACTATCAAACATATTTTATTATTTAAATTCATGTTTACAAAACTCCCACTATATATATTAATAGAGCCAAATAAATAACGCAATGCTTATTCCCTCCAATAACCTTCTGAATTTCCAAATGATAGATTCAAACAGCGTTTCCAAAGTTTTAACAAGGAAATATTTCTCTGCACATACATCTCTATTCTTGTTCTTAGGAGTTCTGAGTGTATTTCACTAATTAAGCTATAATTATTATTGAATGCTACTTATGCCTCAATTGAAATATCTCCTGAATCTGCAGAACCCCTGTCTCCTCTTAAAATAAGAGCTCCTCCCTTTGTACCTAGACTGTCCCTGAACCTCCAGGCCTATGCTGCTATCTCCAGTTTCTCCCCATCCACACAACCTATGTTTGAATCATGAAATGTACCTGCTCAAAAGTGGCATGGTTCCCCATGGCTTACAGAAAATTAAAAAATTGAATTCAATGCTTTCCACAATCAGGCCTTAGATTACCTTCTCACTGTGTCTCCTGCTCCTACCAACTAAAGCTCTTGTCTCCATCTCACTTCTTAAACTCCATTTCTGGAGCATCGCAGGGCTCATGAAGTCACATTTTCCCCCACATCTCCAAGAGTAGTTCATACAAAGCAAGCAACATGTATGTGATATTTGGATTTATTTCAACTGATAGTATCATGAAAAGGCCATTTGAGAACTGTCAGTTCTTTCATTTTATAGCTATGGGTATTTAGTTGCATGGTAAGGTAACTGAGTCACTTGTATATGACCACTCAGCCAGATATTGACAAATAAAAGCCAAAATTCTGCCTCACAGAAATACCACTTTTTAATTATTTTATATTATGCAAATAATTTAGAAACATTGATAATAATGATGAATAGGATGTAATGAGATGCTTTCCTTGTTCAATAAAAATCTATTGAGTTTCCCATTTTCTCAACTCCTAATTGGATGATTGCATACACACAAAAAAAGATTCTTTAGTGTGGAAACAAGATATTCAAATAGAGCATGTCAGTGACCAGCACACCTCCCAAGGAAAATCAAATTGACTATTTAAAAATGCACAGTCAGAGGAGACAAAATGACAAAGAATAAAAAGGAATAAGGCATGCCTACTAGATCTACAAAAACCTCAACAAGGCAAATCTAATAGTTACTGGCCTTAAAGAAGAGAGAGAGAGAGATCAGGGTAGAAAGTTTATTCAAAAGGATAATTGCAGAGAACATCTCAAGCCTAGAAATAGTTATCACTATTTAAGTACAGGAAGTTTGTACTTAAGTACAAGCAGATTTAACCCAAATAAGACTACCTCAAGACATTTAATAATCAAACTCCCAAAGGTCAAGGATAAAGAAAGAATCCTAATGCAGCAAAAGAAAAGAAACGCATAACATAGAATAGCACTCCGATATGTTTGGCAGCGGACTTCTCAGTGGAAACGTTATAGGACAGGAGAGTGACATAACATGTTTAAAGTGTGGAAGGAAAAAACTTATCATAGAATAGTATATCTAGAGAAAATATCCTTTGAACATGAAGGAGAAATAAAGACTCCCAGACAAACAAAAGCTGAGGGATTTCATCAACCCCAGACCTGTCCTATAAGAAATGCTAAAGGGACTTCTCCAATCCAAAAGAAAATGACATTAACAAGCAATAAGAAAACATCTGAAAATAAACAGCCTAATGATGTATCTTAAAGAAGATGAAAAGCAAGAGGAAACCAGGCTGGGCGCGGTGGCTCATGCCTGTAATCCCAACACTTGAGGCAGGTGGATCACCTGGCAGGTGGAACGCCTGACCTCAGGTCCTGAAACTACTAAAAGAAAACATTAGAGAAATTCTCTAGGACATTCATCTGGGTAAAGATTTCTTGAGTAATACCCTAAAAACACAGGTAACCAGAACAAAAATTAACAAATAGGATCACATCAAATTAAAATGCTTCTACACAGTAACAGAAACAATCAACAAAGTGAAGAGACAACCCACAGAATAGGAGAAAATATTTGCACACTATTCATCTTACAAAGGATTAGCCAGAAGATGTAAGGAGCTCAAAACACTCAATAAGAAAAAATTGAATAATCTGATTGCAAAATGGGAAAAATACCTGAATTAGACATTTCTCAAATAAGACATACAAATGACAAACAGGTATATGTAAAGGTGCTCAATATCATTGATCATCAGGGAAATGCAAATCAAAACTACAATGAGATATCATCTTACTCCAATTAAAATGACTTATATCTAAAAGACAGACAGTAGCAAATGCTGCTAAAGATGTGAAGAAAAATGTACCCCTGTACATTGTTGATGGGAATGTGAATTATTACAATCACTATAGAGAACAGTTCGGAGTTTCCTCAAAAAACTAAAATTAGAACTTCCATATGATCCAGTAAACCCAAAAGAAAGCAAAACAGTATATAAAAGAGGTACCTGCATTTCCATGTTTATTGCAGTACTGTTCACAATACCCAAGATTTGAAAGCAATCTAAGTGTCCATCATCAGATGAATGAATAAAGAAAATATGGCATATGTACACATTTAAATTCTAAGAGCAATATTTTGACAAAGGAATTGAACTATATCAGTGAGTTTTCATGGAAAATAAGCCAAATACGGGATATTTATGTTAAATAAAGCATGTTTTTTAAACAGGATTTAAAAGTTTCCTCTCTAGACTATAGTACAAAGACCTGTTTTCATATTCTATTTTTATGAATAATGCCATGAAGGCAAAACTACAACAAAAGTTAAGTCCAGTTGGTAACTGCTTCTCTAAGGACTGCAGTCTTGTTTGCCATTAAAAAAAAAAAAACAAAAAACGCACATAAAAACAGATCCCTGAAAGGTTTTCTAAGTTCATCTGAGGAAAAAGGCAGCCACCCAACAACTTTAGCATAGAAATAAGTAAGAGCTTACACCAGCAAGAAAATCAGCCAAACTACTTTCTCTCTTTATCATGGGTAAACATTACAGAAGGAGAAAAAGTTGTTTAAAAATTAACTAACCAAACAAGAGTTATCTGCTGCCCTTAGAAGTACATAGTGGGTAGAAAGGTAACAGCATGACAAGGCAGAGAGAACCAGATCAAGATGGCAGGGCAGATTTAAATGTAGTGTCTTTGTGGATAAGCTAAGAAAAAACTACCAAAGCCATTTTTTTCATTATACATATAAATCATAGGAAAATGTGTTATAAGGGAGTTTTGGTTGATGATCTGAGTTTCAGCTATCTTCTGGGGGATATTCAGTTTTAGACTGATGACAGTCATCTATCTGATCTACTAACTTGCCTCCAGTTTGCTTTATATGGGTCTCCCCGTTTACTGTTTACTTTTCCTCCTTCTTGGTATTTTGTAAAATCATGTTAAGATCAAATAACAGAGCAAAAATATTTCCTTCAAAAGCAACAGTAAACTGAGATGTATCGTTGTCCATTTGTATGAGCAATTTTTCCGGATGTAATAGAAAGTGATCCATTTACTTGCTCCTTTCTGCATCACTTCTTTTTCCATCAATGGCAGATAACTGGATACAGATACAACATATCTTTCTCTACTCTTCATTCCTCCTTAGGAGATACCTACTGAGTAATGATATAGTGGCAGTTGTTTCTGTTTTTCATCATTCAAGATGTAACTATATAGAGATCTGGGCAATCGGAATAGGACGAAGTCCAATTTTAGTCCTGAAAAATTGTAATAGACAAAATCTGCTGTGGGAGTGGTGGGAATTACACTCTCATGAACAGACTTACTATTGGCAAAACTATCGGGGCTAGAACAGCCGTTCCCCTCCAACCCCCCCCATACAGAAAGTAAATGGAAAATACAAATAGCATAGACTCTATTTATACTACTACAGAATAAGGAGGGAAATCATGAAAACTGAGAGGCAGAGCTCACTGCTGTGATAAAAACCTTACAGAAGGATGCAAGTAAATATGGTCTTTGTGAAAGGAGAATAGAAAAGCACAAAGCAGGAAAAGGCAATGTATAAAGGCATTATAAAATGCAGAGATAGAAGGGGGAGAGGAGATGGAATTTCAGAAAACAAAATTACCATTCTCATTGGAGAATATTAACTCTTGGGGAAAACTGAATCACTGATTTACAGGACCACCTTAAGAATCTTTCCCAGAAGTTATTAAAAAATCAAGAACAATTGATTTGTAAACAATAAAACAGAAGAGGATAAATAAAGGATGGAAGGCAAAATATCACTTGCAGAATTATAGGATTAATAAAGAATCATCAAGAATGAAAGCAGTAATTCATAGCCCAGTGAAAGAATATTTCTTTTTTTTTTTTTTTTTGAGATGGAGTTTTGCTCTTGTCACCCAGGCTGGAGTGCAATGGCACGATCTCAGCTCACTGCAACCTCCGCCTCGGGTTCAGGCAATTCTTCTGTCTCAGCCTCCTGAGTAGCTGGGATTACAGGCACGCGCCACCATGCCCAGATAATTTTTTTGTATTTTTAGTAGAGACGGGGTTTCACCATGTTGACCAGGATGGTCTCGATCTCTTGATCTCATGATCCACCCGCCTAGGCCTCCCAAAGTGCTGGGATTACAGGTGAATATTTCTTAAATAATACAAATCATTTAATACAGGGCCCTATAAGTTCTGAACAAACTTAATGATAGCCCCTCCCATAATTCTACCAGCACTGTCAACCAAGTAATACAGGATAAGGGAGTGACATGTGCTGAGTTTTAAGGAAAGACTTTTACAACTCCTTAATGTTCCCACAGCCAAGTTGCTTTAACATGTGAGGAAAACAGAAAGACTATTTTACATAAGAAAGGCCTGGCAGCATACTATTCATTTACGCTTTTGTAAAAATTACTTGAAACCTCACTCAAATGACAGGAAAAAAAGAAAACAAAGAAGGTAGAGAATGGAGAAATAGAAGTTGTAAATTGAGGTCTCAAAATCAAATGTCTTACTGGAGGAGGGCTAGTAATATAAACATGTAAATTGGCTGATGAATGGCAATAAAAAGTGGTGATATTTGTAGCAAGCTGAAGAGTTCATGTCCCACCTAAAGGCATTAAAATGCAAATGCTGAAAATATATCTGTTGCCACCACTCAGCCAGAGGAGCATCATTTCTTGGCCTCTGATATGAAAACACACTTTAGTTTTCCTTCTTGGTTCATATCCTGAGCTCAGCAGGGACTTTAAGATTATGGGCAGGTTGGGTGCAGTGGCTCACACTTACAATCCCTGCACTTTGGGGGAGTACGAGGCAGGCAGGCACTTGAGGTTAGGAGTTCGAGATCAGTCTGGCCAACATGGTGAAATGCCATCTCTACTAAAAATACACACATACACAAAATTAGCCAGGTGTGGTAGCACATACCTGTAGACCCAGGTACTCAGGAGGCTGAGGCAGAAGAATCACTAGAATCTGGAAGGGAGACATTGCAGTGAGCTGAGATGTGCCACTGCACTCCAGTCTGGGTGACAGAGCAAAGTTCCATTTCAGAAAAATTAATAAATAAAAATAAAATAAATTTAAAAAAAGATCATGGACAGCACATTGTTGCAGTGGTTTCTGAGTCTGTCTCTCCCCATGCACACCTATTCCAACAGGCAGCAGGCAGCTGGTCACAGTCTTTACCATACGCCTCCTATGGAATTTAGGAGCACCTTTAATGATGGATTAAAATAATCACAAGATTTGTTCTATTCCAGTGGTGCCAGCTAATAAAGCCCAACATTTATGTATAATTGGGACATTGTGCCAAGAAAGTTAAATTTATCCAACAAAACGTATTTCCCCCTTTAAAGCTGTATAGAAAGCAATTATTGCCAATTTCATTGCGAGGAAATTTTTCAATACATGTAAGATCAATAACTTATTTCTTCCTTAAACCTTTTATTAATTGACTAAGTCTTTCATGCTAATCGGGAAAAAGCAATAACAATCAAATGGAAGATCTCTGTCATGTAATTTTTATGTCAAAGGCCTCTGATTATACTTGCATTTACATGTTTAAAACTCCGTATTTATAGTTGAACATGAACCGTGTAAAAACGAATAGAAAAAAAAAAAAAAAAAAGACCAAGGCCTTGATCTGAGAGGGATGGGAATCAGGGATTCCCTGGAGCTAAGGAAAGATCTTGATGACAGCTTTTTCCAATGGGGGAATACTATTTGTATTATTCTCATTCTCTCCCTCTCCCAACAAAAGACTGAGAAATTTCCACCAAGAAGGAAGGGCTATCTTTTTTTTTTTTTGAGACAGGGTCTCGCTCTGTCACCCAGGCTGCAGTGGAGTACAGTGGTATGTTCATGCTCACTGCGGCTTCAA